CCGCAGGCCGTGTGGTAATGTTTGCTAAACTTTTGCGGGTCTCGCAGGCGAGCCGCTGGACGAGCTGCCCCCCATGGACCCGGTGCGCATGACGGACCTACTCTTCTGCCGCGGCTACGGCCCCGTGCGCGCCAACATCCAGTTCCCCTTCTCCACGCTGTCCGGGGTCAGCGCCGTGAGCCACGTCACTGCGGTCAGGTAGGTGAAACACCCTGGGTGAAACACTAGAGGTGCTGCTGGGCTGGGCCCCAGTCCCAGGAGGTCCCGCTCTAGTTTGGCGTCGTTGTCCAACTTTCTCGCGCTGTTGTTCAAGTCCGCAAGGCCCGCGTGGTCTGTTCACATTCTACGGAGGGAGAAGAGAGAAAAAGAGGAAAAGAGGAAGGCGATACACTACTATGTGGTTAAGCTTCATCCCCAGCTTCGGGCTTTGTAGCATTGAAAAGTACAGTTACAGTGGTCTAGCTACTAGAAGCTTCACGAATGAATGAACCGTTAATCGCGCGGTCAGTCAAAAGACCTTCCCTTCCAATTCTGCTCCCCTGCAACATCTCCACGACTTGTGTTGTGCAGGTGCTCCGGAGGTGAAACCACCCTGGAATTCACCACGCAACACGACGAGATCGTCCAGGACGGGCTGTACAACCTGACGGGCAGCTTTGGCGACGTGTTCGCCGTCGGCAAGGGCAACGCCCACATCGTTCTCCGTGAGTGCCTCCTCGAGCACCACCACCACCAACACCACGCGGCGGGCGGCTCTCCGACCACCCCGTTCACACTCTCCTTTGCTTTCGCCTGCTCACAGGGGACGTGACCATCCGCCACCAGCTGCGGTGGCGGCGCGCGCGCGGCGGCCTGCGGGTGCGCGACTACCGCGGAGCGGTGTCGCCCCGGGACATGACGGTCCGCTACGAGAACCTGCGGGCCGAGGGCCGGGACGTGCTGGAGGACGAGTGTCGGCGCCACGACCATACCGGTGAGTCGGAGATAAAGCCCCCCCACCCCCCGCGTCCCCACCCATTCACCATCATACAACAACACATTGCATGACGGGCGTGACAATCGGTGGCTTCGGGGGGGTCCATTCCTCAACGACTTTCAGTTACTTTGTATGTATGGGCGAGAAGGTGAGCTTTATTCTTTATCATCACTCATGGGCCCAATTACAGTGGGTTCGTATTGGGCGAGGATTGTCGTAGAGGGCGGGGGAGGAGGAGGAGACATTTGTCACTCCCGGATAAGAGCGACGCGCTTAATCCCTGCGTGTGCGCCCGGAGGTAGGCACTTTACACCATTAGCCCGACCCCCCCCCTCCCACAGGGTCATTCGGGAGGCGGGCTCCGCGCGCGCCGTGTGCTGCTCACCATCTGCTCCTTGTGCTCACGTTTGTCCTGCTTCCCCTCTGCAGGCGGCGGAGAGATCAGGCACGGTCGTTGGCACCGCTCCACGCGTCGAAAGAGGCGGAAACAGAGACGACGGTCGAAAAGGAGAATCGGTAGGTGTGAGTGCGCAGTAATGCGGGACTTGTGGAGGAGGAAGAGGAGGGCCCGCGCTCCGCAGCAGTCCATAGGTGGTGCGTGTGTGTGGGTGGAGGGGGGGGGAGAGGTTAAACCTGGGGAGAAAGGAAGAGTTTGAGGAAAAGGGGGGGAGGATTACGGGCGACCATCCTAATGCATAGCCACACGCACGCCGGGGCACGAGCACGCACATAAATCTTATAACATAACACGTCCCGGGGCGTGGTCCTTAAGGAGGAGAGAGAGAGAAAGGAACGGAGAGAGCGAGAGAGAGGCCGGGAGATAGGATAGAGATATCTAGGGAGAGAGCGAGAGCGAGCGAAATAGAGGTTAAGGGAGGTGGTGGAGGGGCGGCAAAGGCTGAGGACGGAGCTCCGCGGAATACCAGAAGCAGGCACCATAGTGGATGTTCTCATAGCAGCAGGGGATAGAAAAATGTTCTCTGCCGCACCTGATTTTTCTCACGGCACATCCCTTCCACCCCCTCTCTCCGTGCCCTCTTGATGGTGTGTCGCTCTTGTGCCGCTCTATCCATTTGACGGATGCGTGTTGCAGTGGACGTCAACAAGTACTTCAACGAGCACTGGCGCTCGCTGTACGAGGCCATCAAGCAGAGCGTGGACTTCGCGTTCTCGTCCGTGTTCCGCGACTACATGGAGGTGGTGCTGCGGCGTCTCGAGGACCACATCAACGAGTGTGACGGTCGCTTTGACGACTAGGGCCACGAGATGCTTCCTCAATAATCAGCGAGCGTGATGAGTCAATCTACCCCACTTTATTCATTGAATTGTATCCCACCCCTCACCCCCATTATTTATGTCACCTATTTATTTTTATTTATTTT